CAGTAGTCCAAGCAGGAGATAACCAGAGCATGCACCACTCGGGCGAGACAGACAGCGGGCAGGGAGGGTCTCATTCTGCGTACCAGATGGAGCTGGTAAACAGCTGCCCTGGACACAGATTTGACCTGTGCCTCCATGGACAGCTGTGAGCCCAAAATGATACCACTCCATCCATCCTCAGAGGAGCTCTAGGGGTATACAGTACATGGTTCTTTTCCACACACATGTTGTCATCACAACAACCCTGTGAGGTGGGCTGAGAGAGGGGGGGCGGGGGCTAAAAGTCATCTGGCAAGCGTCCAACTCTACCATTCTATGATTCTATGAATCTGTGAGTGGAGATTTGAACCCGGGTCTCCCTGGTCTTAATCTGATGCTCTTCCCACTCTACCACACTGGATGTTTTTCAACGCTCCAGTATATTCTCCACCATGGTTGCTGTGCGTGAAGGGATCTGACTGTCGATTGGAGGGTAGACAAATAACTGGGCCTCTTTGCTTTGGTGGATGCTGCAGCTGAAATGCCCCTTGCCTCTCAGAAAATAAATTGGGAATAATTATCGTCAAACTATAAGCTTCCCTTCGACCCAGAAAAAACTCACGTTTTGCTGCCTGGTGTAAATCTGCATAGTTTCCGGTGTGACGTACGATTCTGAGGCTTTTAGAAGCAACGTAGCAGGGCTTGCCAATCTTTTTCTTTTTAATGTATTTTTATTAAAGATTTTCTTAGTTTACAAAACACATGTAATTATTATTAATATTGATTATTTTCAGTTGTTATCTCTGAGAAACATAGAAAATAAGAGGGTATAGCTATACGAATTCTTCAAACTTACACGACCCTTTAAAAATTAGGTAAGGAGCCAAATGTTATATAATACTGTTTTATATGACTGTTTTATAATTTATGATAATTTAGAATTTAAATGTATTTTCATGTAATATTTGATACTTCCAGCTGATGAAGGTGAATACATCGAAACAGGGCCCTGTCTGGCCTGAGTTCTTGGTGTGCTTTTTTCTTGGTATATCGAAAGAGGAGCGGCAAGCGCAACTGATGGACTATGTGGAGATGGCGAAACTGATGGGAAAGATCCGAAACCAGGAATATCAAGCGTTTGAAAAGGCCTGGAACAAATGCGTACTTTATTTAAAAGATCACTGTAAAAATTTTAAGACACTGGCGGGAATAATGTGAAAGTCTACTGTATTTTACTGATGATTTATATAACGATTTGGAAAACGTAAAAGATGCAGTTAATTAGGGGATAAAGAAAGAAGCCATGGAGGGGGTGGAGGGGAGTTCAAAGGTTCAGAAGAACCTATTAAGTAGAGATGAAAAAGGAATATTGTGAGGATGTTAAAAATGTGGAAAATTAATAAAAATTATTATATTAAAAAAAGTTTACGGTGTAAGTTTTCACAGACTATAAGTTTTCACTTCATCAGCCCTGTTCATGGTGTTGTCCCCAAATCTTAAACTGGTGGTTCACAAAGGGGATAGTGAGGGTTACCTAGGGGAGGTACAGTGGTACCTCGGGTTAAGTACTTAATTCGTTCTGGAGGTCCGTTCTTAACCTGGAACTGTTCTTAACCTGAAGTACCACTTTAGCTAATGGGGCCTCCCGCTGCCACCACGCCACCAGAGCACGATTTCTGTTCTCATCCTGAAGCAAAATTCTTAATCTGAAGCACTATTTCTGGGTTAGCGGAGTCTGCAACCTGAAGCGTATGTAACCTGAAGCGTATGTAACCCAAGGTACCTCTGTAGTAAGAACCAAGTGGCCACAGCTGTTGGAAGATAAAGGTATAAATGGCTATTGGACTTTGGAAAACCACTATCACTGGAAGAAGTTCATTAATTCCGTTGAATTCATTAAACTAAATAGTTTTACAGTTGTACCTCAGCTCCCAAATCCCTTGGGAGTCAAATGTTCCAGCCCCCAAACTATCGAAAACTGAAAGTGAGTGTTCTGGTTTTCAAACGTTTTTTGGAAGCCAAACGTCCAGTGTGGCTTCTGCTATTGTTTCCAGTGCCCCTGCACAATCAGAAACCAATCGGAAGCTGTGCCTTGTTTTCTGAACGTTTCGGGTGTCAAACGGACTTCCGGAACGGATTCTGTTCGACTTCTGAGGTACGACTGTACTTGTTGGCATCTGTCTGTCTCAGGAGACAGTGGAAAATGTGCCTTGAGGGGTGAAGTCAAACCTGTGGCTGTAGAGACCAATACAGGAGAGAGATATTTTGCTGCAGTTGGGGCAGGTGAAGGGACCAGTTTTCAATGAAGTTGCAACTGCTTCGAATTTTATTGAGTCCTTAACTTCCTTAGTGGTTTGTGCAAACCACTATTCTGAATAATGCTTTCTACAGGGTAGTAGCCACTGGGGAGGAATATATGGAACTTGTAGGGGGGAGGGCGAAAAAGTTTAGGAACCATTGGCTTAACCTATAATAAATTTGTTTAGTCTTTAGGATGCCACAAGATTCTTTGTTGCGTTTCCTGCGAGAGATGAACAGAGCTCCAGCCCCTCTAAGTGGTTAACCTTGTCATGGTTACCATAAGGTGAGAAGTTGCTTGTGAAGAAAGGATTTCACAAATGAATACATGTGGACTGGTTTTTATTTCTGTATGGTTCAGCTGACTATGCCTTGGTATTCAGAGTGGAAGGGAAGCAGGGTCACTGTCATCTCGAAGTTACAACTTTTGTCATCTGTGAGATAGCATTTGACTGATATGTGTGGATACACCAGAACCCACTCGGTCAGGTTAGGACAGGGGTCAGCAAACTTTTACAGCAGGGGGCCGGTCCACTGTCCCTCAGACCTTGTGGGGGGCCAGACTATATTTTTTTTTTGGGGGGGTGAACAAATTCCTATGCCCCACAAATAACCCAGAGATGCATTTTAAATAAAAGGACACATTCTACTCATGTAAAAACACGCTGATTCCCGGACCATCCGCGGGCCGGATTGAGAAGGCGATGGGATCAGATCCGGCTCCTGGACCTTAGCTTGCCTACCGATGGGTTAAGAGGAATCACTTCCAAGACTTGTCCCTGCATCCTCCACTTCCCATCAGCTCCAGGCAACATGAGAGGCCGAAGGAGAATGGTCTTAGAATCATAGAATCATAGAGTTGGAAGAGACCACAAGGGCCATCGAGTCCAACCCCCTGCCAAGCAGGAAACACCATCAGAGCACTCCTGACATATGGTTGTCAAGCCTCTGCTTAAAGACCTCCAAAGGAGGAGACTCCACCACACTCCTTGGTAGCAAATTCCACTGTCGAACAGCTCTTACTGTCAGGAAGTTCTTCCTAATGTTTAGGTGGAATCTTCTTTCTTGTAGTTTGGATCCATTGCTCCGTGTCCGCTTCTCTGGAGCAGCAGAAAACAACCTTTCTCCCTCCTCTATATGACATCCTTTTATATATTTGAACATGGCTATCATATCACCCCTTAATCTCCTCTTCTCCAGGCTAAACATGCCCAGCTCCCTTAGCCGTTCCTCATAAGGCATCGTTTCCAGGCCTTTGACCATTTTGGTTGCCCTCCTCTGGACACGTTCCAGTTTGTCAGTGTCCTTCTTGAACTGTGGTGCCCAGAACTGGACACAGTACTCCAGGTGAGGTCTGACCAGAGCAGAATACAGTGGCTCTATTACTTCCCTTGATCTAGATGCTATACTCCTATTGATGCAGCCCAGAATTGCATTGGCCACGTCACACTGTTGGCTCATGTCAAGTTTGTGGTCAACCAAGACTCCTAGATCCTTTTCACATGTACTGCTCTCAAGCCAGGTGTCCCCCATCTTGTATTTGTATCTTGCTGGCTGGGAATGGGTGAGAGTTTGAATTCTGGGCACCAGGAGGGCACCAGGTTGAGGAACGCTGCATTGGACCTTGAACTGGCACAAAGGGATGCCTTCTCAAGAAACAGCTGCTGGGGCAGGTAGGAAGGAAAAGAAACATACCACACAGCCTTGCTCATGGTTGCTTTCTGCCGTTTTATTTTTGAATTTGTACAGCTATATTTTACAGAACGCATTAATGCAGTTTGACACACCCCCAAACCCTGTCACCCGAGATTGACTGATTGTAACACAAGTGTATAAAATGAGACCAAATTATTATTATCTTTTTTAAAAAAACAACAACACCTGACATTCTCCATCAAGAGTCTGCAACGACCCCCTTTATAGCGACACCGTACCTCAAAACTGGGCTCTAATTTAGTCGAAAAGAAAGGCACTGTGAGAAAACGCCAAAAAAAAGAGAGAGAGAAATAAAAATAAAACCCCAAACGAGCATTGTACATATATACAGACTGGGGGAAAGGAAAGAAAGAAACAGAACACAAAATTACGTTTTTTAAATTATTTTAAATTCCTTCTGCAGCTTTGTTGGTTTAATACACACTCTTTTTTTTGTAAATTGTAAACCTTCACTTGCAAAAAATACAAATACACACTCAATGCTCTTAGACAAAATATTTTCTCACTAATACAGATGCAATACTTTTAAAATATCTTGTTAAGTGCTTTGTCACAATAAAGACTCCCGAATCAGCCATCTGCCTGCAGAGGCCTAGCAGGAGACTTTAATGCATATATATATATGTATATATGTGTCTGTCTGTGTGTGTCTGTGTGTGTGTGTGTATATATATATATATATATATATGCATTTAATATCTCTTTTTTAAAGGTTTATATTTTTTATATATTTATTTATATATATATATATTCATATATTTACAACTCTGCCATAGATTCCATCACCTTTGGTTAAAAAGTTAAAGCCCTCTCCACTCTGATAGCATATACAATCTCCCCGCCCGCCGCCGCCCCGCTCTTTCGTTAAAAAACACACAATTTCATTTGCAGAAAAAAGAAAAAAGAAATAACAATTTGTTCCCACGAAACGATCTACATTCCTCGTCTCCTGGCTGCGAAAGGGTCAGGCCTTTTGCAGCACAGACTTTTAAAAGAGAGGGGTTCTTCCCCCCCCCCCAGCTCCAAAACCCAAACTCTCTTGCACGTAAACACTCACGCACACACACATACACAAAATGTCGCTCTGACTATATATATAGATATATAGAGAGAGATATATAGATATATATATATACTTTTTTGAAAATTCACATAACTGGGAAGCAGGAAAAAACAAAAAGGAAATGTAAAACCCGTGTCATTATACTATTTCGCTCTTCCTCCTTTGCAACTGCACTCCGGGCTTCGAGAGGCACTCCATTGTGTGACAATAAAGAATAATAAAGTTTTTGTCCCGTCCCCCCCCCTAAAGTGTTACAAGTTTCCTTTGGACATCGCCCCCACTGCCCTTCCTCCTCCTCCTAAGCCAGACCCTCTTCTCCCGAGAAACAGGTCCTTCCTTCAGCAAGCCTTCGAGAGCTCAGCGGCGCCTTCCACTGTCGAGACGCGGTACTGCACCTTGGTGTTGGTGATGGCGCCGTGCTTCTGGCGCAAGTGGAGGCGCAGCTGGCTTTTGTGGCGGAAGTGCAGGTTGCACTTTTCACACTGGAGGTGGGGGGGGGGAGAGGAGAAAAAGGGAAAAGGCATCAAGTCAGGGCTCTATAACAACAGGGATAAATTGCCTTGTCTTGTCTTTCTGTATGCAACAGCAGCAGCTGTTGGTAGCCAGTCTTTGGAAAGGAAATTATATCCCAACAAAAGGGGAAGGGTTAAGTCAACTATGTAAGTACCTGGAGTTAGCAAAACTGACGGATTTAATAAGGCATAAACCAAAAATTGTAATTCAGAAACAATGGGAATGCTTAAATGAATATTTATACAAGCAGGGCTCAAATATGAAAGTTTGGTTGTGCCTAGACTAACTAACTAAGCCAAGCTATGGTGCTGTGGGTTAAACCACAGAGCCTAGGACTTGCTGATCAGAAGGTCGGTGGTTCAAATCCCCGTGACGGGGTGAGCTCCCGTTGTTCGGTCCCAGCTCCTGCCAACCTAGCAGTTCGAAAGCACATAGTGCAAGTAGATAAATAGGTAACCTCCAGCGGGAAGGTAAACGGCGTTTCCGTGCGCTGCTCTGGTTCGCCAGAAGTGGTTTAGCCATGCTGGCCACATGACCCGGAAGCTGTATGCCAGCTCCCTTGGCCAATAAAGCGAGATGAGCGTCGCAACCCCAGAGTTGGCCATGACTAGACCTAATGGTCAGGAGTCCCTTTACCTTTCAATAAGCAATGCATTTTCTCTGTATTAAATTTAGTGCTTTCGATATGTAAGTTTTATCTACGTTACATGTGATTTACGCAGTATTTTTAAGATGCATACTTCTAAGTGGCAATGTTATGTTATACAGCATTTTATATTGCGAGTTTCTGCGCTGTACCAATTCATCTTATACGCGAATGGCCTGTGGCCTGAGAATTAATAAAACCATGACTTTTAAAGCCATCCAGGTTTTTGGCCACGGCTAGCTGCTGGGGGAGAGCAGCCAGCTTGGCGAAGCCTGGCTTACAAGATCCTAGAAGTGTAGAGTTGGAAGGGACCCCGTGGGAAATCTAGTCCAACCCCCTGCAATGCAGGAATCTCCAGCCACGGGGCTTTCAGACTTACATGGTAGGGCTTTTCCCCAGTGTGGATTCGCAGGTGACTCTTGAGGGTCTGCAGATGCCGGAATCGGGTCCCACAGATTTCGCACGGGTAGGGCTTCTCGCCGGTGTGTATCAGCACGTGAGCTCTCAGGTGTGCTACCTGGCAAAAGGAATACAGGTGTCAAGAGGGGCGGTTCCCACGAGTTCATTTGGGGCGTCAAAAGAAACAGGATTAATAAGAAACCACTAAGGCGACAAGGTTAAAAAAAAGAACGGGATTGCTTTAAAAACTACCTGACAAAATATGGTTCCAATAACGATTCTTGGTTGTGTGCCTAGATTAACTTCACAGGAATAAGGGAATTTTCTTTTTATAACTGAACAGAGATTACTTAAATGTAAGAGAAGAGTTGAAGCCGCAAAGAGTTAGAGGGAAGTCAATAAACATATAAGGGACTCAAACCAGTTTTTGGGAACAGAAAGAATGTAACTGTATGGGGGGTGGGGGGTGGAAAGAAGAAATATGAAGGTAACTTCTTTCTAGAAATTTTTGTATAGAATATTCAAATTATAGTTTGTACTCCTTAAATAATTTTGTGTATTTGACAAATATCTTTTTCCTTTTACAATTTTCTTTTATGTATTTTCTTTTCTTTTTAGTATACGTGGGTGTAAGGATGAATTTATTCTCTCTTTTTTTGGTAAATTTTTAAAATGCAATAAAGATTATATTACAAAATTTGAAACAAAACAAAACACACACAGAAAGACCCCCTTTGGTGCTGGCAGAGGGGTTCCAGAAGGGCCAAATTCTCTCTCTCTCTTTTTAAATAATCTTTATTAATTTAAATTACACACATATACAAAGAATTTACAATCTCATACTACAAAAAGAAAATTAAAGAAAAAACAATTAAGAAAAAAGAAAAGAAGAAAATACAGGAAAAAAAGAAAGAAGAAAAGCAGATTTATGTGCATAAAAAAACCTTAATCTTCCTAATTACAGTCATACCTCGGGTTAAATATGCTTCGAGTTGAGCGCGTTCAAGTTGCGCTCCGCGGCAACCCGTAAGTAATGCAGTACGTTACTTCCGGGTTTCGCCGCTTGCGCATGTGCAGACGCTCAAAATGATGTCACGCGCATGCGCAGAATTGGTGAAAAGTGATGCGCGCTTGCGCAGACATGCTGTCGCTAGTTACGTTTGCTTCTAGATGTGAACGGGGCTCTGGAACGGATCCTGTTCGTATCTAGAGGTACCACTGTAATACTTAAATAAACACTTAAATAAAAAAGACCTGACAAAACGAGTCTTCCAATCATTCTCATTGTACTGTTTATACTGTCGTTGTTTTTTCTGCAAAGTTTTATATTCTTTAATATTGTTCCCGTCTACTCCACAAACGGTATTTGTTGTGCTTACAGTATCACTCAAGTTCTGCTAATATGGCCAAATTCTCTGCCTACCAACTACCCACCTGGACAAACCTCGCCCCACAGGTCTCGCACTTGTAGGGCTTCTCTCCCGAGTGGATCCGCGTGTGGGTCTTCAGGTTGGCCGGCCGGTTGAACTGGGCCCCGCAGATGCTGCAGCGATACGGCTTCTCGCCTGTCTCGACAAACAGAACGGAGCCTGTTTAGTGTCGCGGTATGAAGCAAAAGAAAGAAAAAGAGAGAAGGTGCTTCTATGAAAGTGCGTGTGGCCCGCCTAGAAGGGAGGGCGCACCTTTGGGTAAGGAATGGGGCCTGGGCGATTAGGGTGCCCCCTCGCCTTCAAAGCTCTCAGCGCCAAGGACCCAGACGGATAGGAAAGCCATAGGAAGTTGCCTTATACTGAGCCACACCATTGGCCCCTGCAGTTCAGTATTGTCAACACGGGCTGGCAGCATCTCCTAGCCCTGCCTGGAGATGCCATGGGGGGTTTAACCTGGGGCCTTAATACTATAATAGTTTATTATTTATACCCTGCCCACCTGGCTGGGTTTCCCCAGCCACTCTGGGCAGCTCCCAACAGAATGTTAAAAGCACAATAAAACATCAAACATTAAAAACTTCCCTAAACAGGGATGCATTCAGATGTCTTCTAAAAGTCAGATAGCTGTTTATTTCCTTGACATCTGATGGGAGGATGTTCCACAGGGCGGGCGCTACCACCGTGGAATGCCCTCCTACCAGATGTCAAAGAGAAAAACAACTACCAGACTTTTAGAAGACATCTGAAGGCAGCCCTGTTTAGGGAAGCTTTTAATGTTTAACATTAAAACTATTGTGTAACATTAAGACAATTGTGTTTTAATATTTTGTTGGAAGCTGCCCAGAGTGGCTGGGGAAACCCAGCCAGATGGGTGGGGTATAAATAAATAAATAAATAAATAAATAAATAAATAAATAAATAAATGATGATGATGATGATGTACCTGCATCCAGCACAACCAAACCTACAGCGTACAGATACCTACACTGCGTACACTTTTTTCCACGTTACATGTGAATAACTCTACAAGGACACAGCTCAGCTCTCTGCGTACCCAGATTGCATACTCGTTAAAACGTTACATGTGAGCACCCCTCATGAATTCTCCAGATCCGGATAAGGGCTTGTCCCCATTTTACAGATGGGAAACGGAGGTTGCAAAGGCCAGCCAGAAAGTCCATGGCCAAGGCGAGGTCATTTGAACTGCTGACTCCCCGGCTCAAAGCTCGCTCCCTTAACTCAATGATACGGCCTGTCTCAGATCCTTCCGCTGCCGCAGATCACAAAGTGCTTTACAAACAGAAACAGCTTTGTCCCTCGAGAAAGGGCACCTCAACACTGTGCAGGGACACAAATTCCCACCGTCCTCAGACAATGGTCAGGGAAGGGGGGAATTGTGGCCCGCCATTAGTCTGGAGGTTCCCATTCCTGCACCGGTTCTCCCACTTTTGGTCCTCACTGAAGGTTTTTGGAATATAGTTTCATTTCAGCCAGACATACGGGGTGGGGGTGGGGAATGGAAGGTGGAACGGACTCCTTGAGGAGCTGGTGGACTCTTGTATCTTGGAGGTGCTTTAGAAATTGGGCGGCCATCTGCCAGGGATGCTATAGCTGAGATTCCTGCATTGCAGGGGGTTGGACTAGATGTCCCTTGGGGACCCCCTCAATGATTCATTGGAGGTTTTCAAACAGAGCTTGGGTGGGCAACTGTCAGGGGTTCTTTAGATTACCGCGGTGCAGGAGATCCTTTCCAGCTCTATGATTCTGTGATCCTATGACCTTGGAAGGTGGTGGACCCTCCTTCGCCGGAGACTTTTAAACAGAGCTCAGAGGGCCGTCTGTCCGGGATCCCTGCATTGCAGGGGTCAGACTAGATGACCGCTTGAGGCCCCTTCCAACCCGGCAATTCTGCGGTTCCACGGCCCCAGGCTGTGCGGCTCCCTCGGCCTGACCGTCCACCATCCCGACAGACCTCTCCCCTGCCCCTGTGGCGGCCCGGAAGTGCCGTACCTGTGTGCACAGTTTTATGGCTGGCAAGGTTCCCTTTGTAGCGGAAGGAGGCCTGGCAACGGTCACACTTGTAGGGCTTGTCGCTGTGCATTTGGAGGGAGTGTCTCTTCAGCGACGCCTCTTCCGAAAAGCGGCAGTGGCACTCGTTGCAGAAAAAGGTTCCGTTCTCTGTCGGGGGAACCGAAGGAGGAAGAGGCGGCCGGGAGTCAGAGGAAGCTAAGCGCAACAGCTAAGCACACACAAACACACACAGGGGGGCTAGCTTGTGCAGATATTGCTGCTTGGGGGACGGGAAGATCCAGTGGGACCCTCAAACCATCTTCGCTGGAAATCCTCGTCCGGCAGAGACAACGTGGCCTAGTGCTTGTGCCGGACTTGGGTTTGAATCCCCATGAACTCGCTGGGTTTGACTTTTGGGGCCAGTCACTGCCTTCTCTGAGCCTTGCCTAACGCACAGGTTTGTCGTTGTGGGGTTTAAAGGGGGGAGGCGGGAGTCATGTGCTCCACCTCGAGCTCCTCTGTAGGAATGATCGCTGGGTGCGGAGCACACTCCCCCTCACAGATAAAGCCACAGCTGTCTGAACATCTTGCCCTCTGTCTAACTTTTTGCGGACTCAGTAGCCTGCGGTGTCCTGTCTGTGACCTTTGTCTCTGAGACCTTTGTCTCCTTCGCCACACACTGTGCAAGGGGAAAATGATGCAGTGGAAACAGGTGCCAGAATAGCTTTGTACCACCCCACGATCTCGGGACTGGAAGATGTGCAAAGGTCGCAGCCCAAAATGTATCTGCCTGGGTTTGCATATTGTGTCAATAAAAGGAGCCTCCACAGAGCTGGCCAGCAGCTTGCTTGCAGCTCACCTGTGCGCAGCTCACCTGCATTATCAACTCCTGCCTCATGTCCTTCACTTCACTCCTCGGAGGAGAAAAAGGTGGAATACAGATGCACTAGGTAAAATGAAGAGCTGCTGCTTTTCTAGGGCAGAGGCAAAATTGCACGGCGAATGCAGGCGCCAGCTTCTCCTGGCAGAGTGGGGCAAATGCCAGGAGACCCTGCCATTAATATAAAGCCCTGTTGGCACTGGTACCAGAGCTGATCCAGCTCAGCTGGTGGGGAGGGGGAAGGGGCGCCGTGCAAAACTCCAGGCGTGCAGGTGAAGCAGAGGACCTCAGTGCTACATGCCAGAAGGTGGCGCACAATGTTGGATGCATGGCTTGACACTTTCCCTCACCCAAATCCAGGCCTTATCCTACAAAAGACACGTCTGGTCTCCACAAAAGAGGTTTGTACAGCACTATGTGATCCGAAAGGATGTGAAACGGCTTTGCCCTCCCCCACAAATACAGATTCTGAATCAGATGTTGCTGGAAAAATACATTTTGGGTGGTTGTTGTTCAGTCCAATTTTGGAGAATTTCAGAGCCTTGGATCGCTTTGGCTTTAGGTTTTCGGAACCTGAATTCGGGACGTTCTGAATTTCCGAATTAAGGGATGCAATATTTGGATTGCGAGGATGAGACTCTGAAAGGGATGTGCGGCACAGGAATGATCTGATTCAGGAAACAAACCATTTGAATCTGGTTTGTTTTTTTAAGAGAGCTTTTTTTAAAAAAACAACCTTTGAATTGGGAAAGCCACCAAATCATTGTCTGAACGGATTTCATTGGCAGAAGAGGGGTTTCCTGCTTGCTATGTGTTGTATCTTATAAGGCCAGAGATTGACTTCTGGGTACCTATATACTGTGTGCCCGTAGAGTGAGCAAGCAGGGGAAATGCGAGCATGCAGGGAAAATAGGGAATCCACTATCGCCCACAATGCTCTCCAGGGTTTCAGGCAGAGGGCAATCCCAGCCCTGCCTGGCAGTGCCAACCTGGGATTGTACCCGCCGGGGCCTTCTGCGAGCCAAACAGGTGTCCCTGTGCCGAGCTACGGAACTCCATTGCCGAAATAACCACGAAACAGATTGGTCGGGGCTTACCACAACTGGAGTCGGAGTATTCCGATTGCGTTTCTCCCATCTCTTCTCCGAAGTGTGAGCCGGGGGTCTGAAGGCACAGCTCAGAATGCTGGGGGGATTGCGAACCGCAGGAGCTGCACTTGGAAGAGTGCAGGTACAAAGGCGACTGGTCGTCGCTGCCGCGAGGAGACCCATCTAGCGACCTAGGCAGAGCGGGTGGGGGAAGGAGTGTAAGCAACGTAGACGGAATCACAGAACTGTAGAGCTGGGAGGGGGGCCCCCGGGGGTCATCCAGTCCAACCCGCGGCAGTGCAAGAAATCCCAGCTAAAGAACCCCTTTGGCAGATGGCCACCCGACCCCTGTTTCATGGCAAGCCCTGTTTCATCTCTCTTCCTTCTCTCATGACACAACCAGAACTTGTGGACATCCAAAGTGTTGGAAGATTCAGAGTAAATAAAACAAAGTCCTTCTCCACGCGCCGTAGAGTTAAACTGTGGAACTCCCTCCCACAAGGAGGCAGTGACAGCCACCAAGCCAGACAGCTTTAAAAGAGGACTAGACAAATTCATGGAGTAGGGGGGCTATCAATGGCTTCTAGCCACCATGAACATGCTGTGCCCCACACAGCTGGAGGCAGCAATGTTGCTGGAAGCGTCAGGAGGGGAGAGGGCTCTCGCACTCGGATCCTGCTAGCAGGCTTCGTGAGAACAGGATGCTGAGCAGATTGGGCCATTGGCCTGACCCAACAGGCTCTTCTGATAATTATTTGGGGGGAAATGGGATCCCACAGCTAATTCTCCCCCCTCAAAGGCCCAAATAGGACTAATTTAGCCAGCTAGCCCTGGTGATCATCTAATGTTTATTGAATGGATTCTCTCTCTAAATTTTTTGAATTTATTGTTATTCACGTTTTATACTGTATTTTATGCTGTTTTTTGTTGCATCAATTAAGTGTTTTAAATTTGTTGTTAGCCACCCTGAGCCCGGTTTTCTGAACCAGGAAGGGCGGGGTATAAATAAATTATTATTATTATTATTATTATTATTATTATTATTATTATTATTATTGGAAAAGGCAGGCCTGCCTCTCATCCCTCTTTGCTCTGCCCGAAGCTGAGGGCTTCAGTGATGGGGTGGAGAAAGAAAATGGAAGCTCTCCACCTCTTTGCCACCTCCTGCCACACTCAGTGGGCCTTTGGTGAGCCCGTAAGGAGCCCCAACCAACCGGGAGCTTTTACCTGTTGACGATGTTGTTCAGCCTACTGGCCTGAGGGATCGTCGAGTCCTCCCCGTTGACGCTCATCTTGGTGGGGGACTGAACATCCAAGCTCTCAGGCTCCATCGACTGCTGGCAGGTCAGGGAGGGGGCATAGGTGTGGGGGGAGAGGGTCCCCGCCTCGCCCTGCTCAGGGCCGTCCGCCTTGGCACTCTGGTTGAGCGAATTGAGCACAATGAACTTGTACTTCTTCCAGTTGCAAGCCTTGGGGTCAGTGGGGCTTTTGGCCGAGGGCGGCCCGCTGGGCCCTTGCCCGATGCAGGCGTTCTTGCTGCTGCTGGACTCGGTGGGCGAGTTGGGCTGGCAGTCTGACTTCTGCGGGCTCTGGGGGCTGACCAGGACCTTGCGGTTCATGGGGGCGTTGCTTGCCTCGAAGCGCTGGCTGATGTCGTCTTCGGCTGGGGACCTTTCCTCCTCTTTCCCTGCCTTGTCGCAGGGGAAGTAGGCGCTGTTGCGGGCTACCAAGGGGGCAGCAGGCTTGGGGGCAGGGGCGCCGCTGTAGTGCACATCATTTTTGACCTCTTCGGCAGCAGCTTTCTTCGGGGAGTAGATGGCGGCCTGGCACATGCCGGGCGATACCTCGGTGACGCTCCGGGCATAACCGGCAGCGCCCGTCCGGGATGCGCCGCACGGCAGCGCCCGCTCCCTCGGGAAAGGGTTGGCCCTGGAAATGTCCGACAGGGGCATCCTTGCTTCTCGCAGCTCATCGTCTGAGAAGAGGTACCCGCCGACCGGCATGGGGCTGTATCCAGTGTAGGAGATGGGGGAGCCCGAAAGGCCGCTGTACAAGCCGGGGACGAAGGCTCTTCCGTCGCAGATGGACCCGTTTCGGAGAGGCAGCCCGCTTTCGGAGACTTCCCTGCTGCTCCTGTAAGCCATCATGTCCGGGTGGCTGGCCAGGCGACCGCCCAGAAAGTCTTCCCGCTGAGTCTTCACGGCAGACATCATCTCTGTGTCACTGGACGTGGTGGGAAGGGAGAGAAAGAGAGAGGGAAATGTTGGAATAATTGATAGATCATGGTCACAACAGGCAATTCCTTCTTCCTACATAAGAACACAGACAGAAGATACTGTCCTCTGCCCCAGCTGCAACCAAACATGTCTCTCCTGTATCTACAGCCACAGCAGGCGCTGTGACTCTCCAACAGTTTCATAGAATTGTAGACTTGGAAGGGACCCCGAGGATCATCTCGTCCAACCCCCTGCAAGGCAGCTGTCCCATATGAGGATCGGACCTGCAACCTTGGCATTAGCACCATGCTCTAACCGACTGAGATATCCATGCGCTAGTTTGACCTCACCCCCCGACGGTGCGCTCTTCTTCCATTGTCTCCTGAGACAGATGGATGCCAACCAACATAAGAGGATAAGATGAGCCTTCTGGATCAGGCCAATGGGGGCCCATCTAGTCTAGCATCCTGTTCTCATGGTGGCCAACCAGATACCTTAAAGGGAAAGCCATGAGCAGGATCAGAGCACAACAACAGCACTCTCCACCTCCTGTGGTTTCCAGCAACAGACCTCTCTTCCTCCAGGAATTTGTCTCCTCTTTTAAAGACATCTAGATCAATGGCTCCATAGAGAGAGAAAAGAAGAACTTTCGTTCTTCCAACATTCCGCTTCCTTAGATGTCCACGATTTCTAGTGTTTCCTACTTTGGGGCGAAACCAGGGCTTGACCCCTAACAGTGCAGACTGGTCAAGTTCTGCTGGACCCAGCAGTAGAAGGAGCTACCCTAAGAGCACACAACGTTCTCGAAAAATGCATAGCCATGGACTGACCTCGCTGAGCTTAACCCGGGCCAACTCACCTGGTGTTGACCAGCCTCCGGCACGTATCTACCACGTGTTCCATCTGCAGGTAGAGAGCCGTGGTCATGACTGCCATGATGTTGCTCTCCCGCAGGTTGAGACGGGAGGTGTACATGAACTCAAGGAGGATGCCAAAGCCTTCGGGGTTGATCTCTGGGTCCAAGTTGATGACGTTCAAATTGCACTTCAGCTGATCGGTGAAAATGCTGTAGAAAAGGCCACTGGGAGGAAGAGAAGAAGAAAAAACAGAAGTGGAGAAGTGTTTATTTATTCATTTTACAGCTCACCTATCTTCCAAGGAGCTCAAGGTTCCGTATTTTTCATCCCATAGGATGCTCCGTCCCATAGGACGCACCTAGTTTTTTTGGGGGGGGGAATAAAGGAAATCCCCCCCTTTATTTCCCCCCCAAAAGCAGGTCGGGGAAACCGAACCAGGTCGAGGAACAGCGGGATGGCGGTGCTGCGCCTCCCTGCTGTCCCCCGAGCTTGTGGGGCTGGCCGATGTCTGCCCGGCGCAAGGGGCGCTCTGCTTCAGGGTGCCCCGCGCGCCGGGCAGCAGGCTGCTATCCGCAGCATGGGGAGCCCTGCGGGGAACTCCTGCAGGGCTCCCCACACTGCGGATGTATTCCCGGCGCAAGGGGCGCTCTGCTTCAGGGCGCCCCGCCCGCGGGGCAGCAGGCTGCTTTCCGCAGCATGGGGAGCCCTGCGGGGAACTCCTGCGGGGCTCCCCACGCTGCGGATGTCTGTCCGGTGCGCGGGGCGCTCTGCTTCAGCTCCCCCTCTCACTCTCCAAGCTTCAGCGAAAGCCTGCATTCGCCCCATAGGACGCACCCAGATTTCCCCTTCATTTTTGGAGGGGGAAAAGTGCGTCCTATAGGGCAAAAAATACGGTACATGGCTCTTACTCAGAAGAACTGCAGAGCATAGCTAAGAAGCCATTGATAGCCCTCTGCTCCATCAATTAGCCTCCACCCATCCCAGTCGGTGGCCGTCCTGTGGCAGTGAGTTCCATAGTTAACTATACGCTGTGTGAAGAAGGGACTTCCTTTTATCAGCCCTGAATCTCCCAGCACGCAGCTTCGGGGGATGTTGGCAAGTCCTGGGGTCGTTCCCCTCACCTGCAGGCCATCAGGACTGTTTTGTGGGCTCGGAACTGTTCCCGGTTGACGATGATCACCACGTCCGTCAGGATATCCCTGCTCCTGAGGCGGTTGAGATTGAGGAGGACGTCGCTCGCGTGTCGGGTGAACTGGATGCAACTGTCTGCCGGTGAAGCCATCTTGGGTCTGTCCTGTCGGCGTGCAGAAGAAGGGAGCAAAGGCGGAAATTATTAGGAGCATTGCAAAGAGGTCCTGGCTGCAGGTGGTCCTGGGCGGAGATCTATGGGGTCAGGAGGGCTCTTCATTTCAGCAGGGTGAGCTCATCTATAGAGCACACACCTGAGGCTCTAGTCAAGACTTCCTCAACCTGGGGCCCTCAAGATGTTTCGGACTACAACTCCAATCAGCCCCATACACTCCAAACACAGGGTTAGGCCTGTTTGACTCTCACCTCAAAGCTGTTGTGAAGGAGCAGCAGCCCATAGAGAAACAGTCCTGCTAGATATTACCAGCCACGCATGGGACCTTAAAGTAAAGCCTCCATAGCCAGAGAGAGTGTACCTCTAACATAGATCGCAAGTGAACTGGTGGAACTGCAACCCACCTCCATGCCCTGCTTGTAAGCTCTCAAAAGCAACTGGAAAGTGAAGCTTTAGCTGGTTGGGACTGGCCTGATCTAGAGAAGGCCATCCCAAACTGGAAAGATGCTATGCCAGGCCGGCAGTGACTGGGAGCTGAACGTTTTCACTGGTGAAAATTCCTTAGAGTGGATTTTTCCTGCCTAAGGAGGATTGTCAGCTTATTTCATCTGCCCCAGAAATTTCTTCAAAGGCTCGTTTTGAATTTTAGGGGCGGAGGGCTGAATGCTGGCGATTGTCCCCGTTGCCTTTTAATTGCACTTTGAAACTATCTTTTAAAATTCTTTCAAAGTGTATCGTGGAGGGTCTTACTTGCTGTTTCTGGTTTTAACTGTGTGAAAGCTGCTCTGAGGCCCCAGGGGGGTCACAAACATGGCCAAGCATTTAAGGTAAACCAAAACACCAAGCAGAGACCACAAATTACTGTATTTTTTGCTCTATAAGACTCACTTTTTCCCTCCTAAAAAGTAAGGGGAAATGTGTGTGCGTCTTATGGAGCGAATGCAGGCTGCGCAGCTATCCCAGAAGCCAGAACAGCAAGAGGGATTGCTGCTTTCACTGCGCAGCGATCCCTCTTGCTGTTCTGGCTTCTGAGATTCAGAATATTTTTTTTCTTGTTTTCCTCCTCCAAAAACTAGGTGCGTCTTGTGGTCTGGTGCATCTTATAGAGCAAAAATACAGTATTTCAAAGTGTATCATGGAGGGTCTGACTTGCCGTTTCTGGTTTTGACTCTGCAAAAGCTGCTCTGAGGCCCCGGGGGGGGGGTCACAAACATGGCCAAGAAATTTAAGAAAAACCAAAACACCAAGAAGTAGAGACCGCAAAGTAATTCCCTCCCGAAGAGGGGCAGGTGGAAGGAAGCCTTCGACACCCGACTGCGGGATGGCAGCCACCACCAAACCCACCCACTCGGTTCCCATCAGCAAAGGAGGGAGAACGCCACTTGTTTTTATTTCCTTAAATCAAGCCAGAAGCCCTCCTGAAAAACGCTTCCAGCTGAGACAGCTGCAATATTCCATTCAACACACTTGAAAGAAAGAGGCATGCAATTACGGAGCCGTACCTCCAGCTTCAATTCACAGTCGAAGGGTTTCTTTCAGACCTGCGCAGACAAACACAAACACAAAGAACCTTGTAAGCATATATATATATATAAGCAGAGCCTGCATGATTGAGCCAGTGGCCCATTTAGTCCAGCATTCTGTTCTTACAGTGGTCAGCCGGATTCCCCAACAGGAAAACCGCAAGCATTCATATAATTATCATTCATTGTATTTAAATTCCGCCTTTCTCCTAAACTGGGATTCAAGGCGGCTCCGGACATTTAAAAACAACGTTATAAAATGCAAAGTAATGAATGCAAACTGGTTAAAAACAATAATTAAAATACACCAGGACACATGGAGAACCAGCAATTAAAACTACAGTTTGCCCCGACAGCAGCCCAGCGGTCAGCAATGTCTGCACCTTCGTCTCCAAAGGCCTTTCTGAAACCAGGAGGATAACAAGGAGGGAGCCAGGCTGACCTCTCTTGGGAGTGAATTGCTAGGATCATAGAGTTGGAGGGACCCCAAGGAATCTCCTTCCTTGTAATCATAGAGATGGAAGGGACCCAAAGCACAGCCAGTGCCACAATATGGGAGCAGCCACAGAAAAGGCTCTGCCTAGGTCACCACCAGCTGTGCTTCGGATGTTGATGAGACTAAGGGAACTCAGCGAGACCGAGGGAAGATGCTCACCCAGGGATCTCAGCATCTGGGCAGGTTCATAATGGGAGATGTGATCTTTCAGGTAGCTGGGACACTTTGAATTGTGCCCAGAAACAGATCAGTAGGGAGTGAAGTTGTTTTAACAAGGGAGTGACATGTTCCCTTTGTCTGGCAACATTCAGCAGTCTGGAATTGCGGTCAACAACAACAACAATTATATGCTGCCCATCTGACTGGGGTGTCCCCTGGCCACTCTGGGTGGCTCCTAACAAAATATTCAAAACTAAATAACACTACAGTGCTAGCCAGGTATTAACATGACGGGGACCCAAGTGGTCAATGCTTTTTTTAATATAGTACAGTGTGAAAGTTATAACTCCACTGAAGATGCTCAGTGCATGACCAGTAGTTTTCTTTCACCTACTCTGCCCCAAAGGTCTGACAATGGCACTTGAACCACAGAATCAGGGTGGGGTTTGTCAGAGCAGCAACAAAACCCAACACACCTGCAAAACTCCCTCCCATGACCCTTTTCCAAACGTCACAAGCCACACAACAGATGTGTGGTTGTTGTTTTTTAAAAAAAAATTAATAGAGGTGTTGGGCTCTTACACAAAAAGCACAGAAGAATCTTGTGGCACCACAAATTTATCATGGCATAAAGCTCCCATGGACTCGAGCCTATGTCGTCAGATACCCGGTGCGAAATCTTAGGTGGCCGGTATCTAAAAGGAGAATATCGAAAGGTGGGAGTTGAATGGCAAGGGAATGCAAAGATTACAGTTGGTGAAGATTACAGTTTAAATATAGTTTCGCTGCAACAGATGCAGTTTGCACCTCGAAAGCCTCTCCCGATTCAGATGGGACAGAGAGATGGAGCCGAGTGCGAACCATATATTGATGACACTTCACTCCAGACCTCCTGATGACAACTCCCAGATGTCAAGACAGCAAAGGGGACAAAATGCGGGACCCTGTGGGAAACCATAGGACAATTCCTGTGGTGCCAACAATAGCTTCCCATCAATAGTCATCTTCAAATATCTCAAGGGCTGTCACATGGGAGATGGAGCAAGACTGTTTTCTGCAGACTAATTTGGAAGGTGGTGGACTCTCCTTCCTTGGAGACTGTTAAGCAGAGGTTGGATGGCCATCTGTCATGTAAATTGCATCTAGCTGATATCCCTGCATTGCAGGGGGTTGGACTAGATGACCCTTGAGGGTCCCTACAACTCTCTGATCTGCAGGGAAGGGAATGGAGGTGGTACCAAAAGCATCCCACACATTATTTTTTAATGCCACAGTTCTTTCTTTTAAATCGAGCCGGGGACAGATCCCCTGTCTTCCCAGCGTTGCATTTTGAAATCTCAATAAAAACCACACTGTAAAAAAAATAAATCCTCTGTTATGTGGCTCTTGTGATCTGGCCCATAAAAACACTCCCACACCCACAAAGGAAAAAACAGTGTGGGACGTGTGGCGCTGAATTGCAATGCAGCATCTAATTGCCAGTGTAAAAAAATGTGTGCCATTACGATTCCATTTCGGAGACATGAAAGGGAGAGCAGCCCCTCCACAAAGCCGCCTGGAATCTTGCATAATTGCCGCTTCAGATTTTGAAGGCTCAGGGGAGAGCCTCTCTTGACACAGCTCGTCTCAAGCCATCAAGCTTGAAGAGGGAGTGCCAGGGGCGCGTTGCGGCTGTGGCGGTTGTGATGACACAAGACGCAGGGAGCTACCGGCAGCTAGAACAGGTGTGCCAGCGCCTAACATCTGGGCTCATTAGCTACCAGACCAAATCCAAGGTGTTACTCTTGGGAGCAGTTTACCTGTGAGATTGCTTCATCCCAGATGTGCCCACTTGATCTCTTCAATCAGTAGAACGGGCAGCCCAGGTGCCAAATCACATCTGTTCCGCGTGTGTAAGAACTCAATGTTTGAGTGTGACAGTGCCTATCCTTTGGAACTCCCTGCCTATTGATATCAGTGTATTCTTTTCAAGCCTATCCTGATGCTTAGAAACTTGATGTGAGTTTTAACCTGTTTCAGTATTTTAACTTTTTGTATGTTTTCGAGGTACAGCGGTAATTTTTTCTTGATTTTCCTGTTTTATCTTTTCGTAAACTGCTCTGAGGATTTGGTGTTGTTGTTTTTTAAAAAAACACCCCATCAAGCATTGTATAAATTCCATGAAATAAATAAATGGACAGCAACAAAAGCAAGAGAGCCAATTGCTCTGCCTCCAGATTCCTGCGCTCAAGCGGGAAAACTTTTGATATTTTAAAAAATCAATGTTTTTATTAGGAATTTTTAAAAAAACAAATAACGAGTCTAGTCTAGCGAAAACATCAATCATGTTGCAAAAAGATTCGCCACAATTGCAAAAAAAATATTGCATAGGAGCTGATAAGGTATTTTGGAAACGGTTTGTGGAAGATTGAACAATAAAATCTTGCTGGGGGCCTGCAAAGTTTAGCAACTCCTGCAAAGTTGGCAGAAGTGATCTCACGCCTTATGAACGGTACCCCATGAACATGCAAGCACCCTTTCCGAACTCCTCATTCCTCCTTCAGCTTCTAAAGGGAACCACCCCCCTTTCCTGCTCATAGCCTACTCCTGCTTTGCTAAAATGTGCAAAACCTTGCTCCAGTCGCCCATCGATATGCCCTCATCACCACCTGTTTGTGGACAACCCAGAGGCGTCTTGGGTTTTCTTGATCTCTCGACCAGAGTTTCCACTTTTAATAGTTGGGTTGTTTTACTGAGATTGTTTTATAGTGCGTTTTAATTACGGGTGATATAATGTTTGTGTAATTGGCGGCTACACTTTGTAAACCACTCAGAAGCCTATTTGGGCATGAAACGATATATGAATTAAATGATCGTCATCATCTGGTTGGCAGCTGCGGGACTAAAGGCTACTGGCCTCAATAAGCCTTCTGTTCTGATTTGCAGATCTTTCGCCTTTCCCCCTTGCTTAAATCAGCTGCACCAAAGGCTGGGGCAGCTCACAAACTCCCAGTTACAGTGGTGCCTCGCAAGACGAAATTAATCCGTTCCGTGAGTCTCTTCGTCTTGCGGTTTTTTTGTCTTGCGAAGCACGGCTATTAGCGGCTTAGCGGCTATTAATGGCTTAGCAGCTTAGCGGCTATTAACGGCTTAGCGGCTTTAAGAAAAAGGAAACAAACTCGCAAGAACTCGCAAGATGTCTTGCGAAGCAAGCCCATAGGGAAATTCGTCTTGTGGAACGACTCAAAAAACGGAAAACCCTTTCGTCTAGCGAGTTTTTCGTCTTGCGGGGCACCACTGTATATACCCATTCGGATGTTTGTCAGAGCTTCTCGTTAAAAGCCATCAAGGGAAGCTGTGATTCACTAGTTAGGGATTGGAACTATATTTTGCTATTTCTGACCAGCCTGTTTCCTATACCAAAAGGAAGAAGAGAAAGCACGTTGACCATCAACTCTCCATACCAGATCTCACTTTCAGATGCAGAGAGAGCCCTTTCCGTGCATCTCCAACTCGGCTGCCATTCTCCACTTTAAAACAAAAACCGCTACGCTAAAATTAATCATCATCGCGCTTGCCCTCGTCAGAAAGATTCACACTAAAATTGTAAGCACCTTTCTCTCCGCAAGAGGGCAGCCTTGCATGAGGAATACACCCAAGTCCCATCTTGCAGTTCCTTTTATTGAAGGAATTTAGATCACAAGCCAGCCTTGCAATCATTTACCAGCTACCCACTTATACAGCTGGCACAACAGAATGGCTACACACAGAATGGAAAGCTACCGGATCCAATCATCCAATCGCCTGCCTTCCTGCTCCACACAATGTCCCGGCCTTCCCTAAGCTGCAAATCCTTACACCAACAGAAGCTGGCCCAAGAAAAGATAAGACATCGGGATCTCCCAATGCTTCGGGGAAAGAGGATAAAAAAACGCTCATGCAATTTCTCACCATGCACAAGAGAAATCTAGACTCCTATAGGGAAGTCGTAGGACTGAGTCCACAATTTAAGAAGGATGTTGGCGAGCTGGAATGTAGGGTGACCAAGATGATCAAGGGTCTGGAAACCAAGCCTGATGAGGAACGGTTGAGGGAGTTGGGGATGAGGGAGTTGAGACTAAGAGGAGAAAAGATAGCCGCCTTCAAATATCTGAAGGGCTGCCACATAATAATAATAATTTTTTATTCATACCCCGCCCTTCCCGGTTCAAAAACCGGGCTCAGGGCGGCTAACAACAAATTTAAAACACTTAATTATAAAAGCAGCATAAAAGACAGTATAAAAACATGAATAACAATAAAATTCAAAAATCAGTTTAGGGGAAATAAGCATTAGATAATCTCCAGGGCTAGCTGGCTGAATTGGTCCTACTTGGGCCAGCGAGGAGCGCAGGGGAGAATTAGCTGTGGGGTCTCAGAGTGGGTGATCTTCATAAAAGGGGAGGGGGAGGGAAGGAAGGGGAATAAAAGATCAGGCTAAGTTCAGATTGAAAGCCAGGCGGAATAGCTCTGTCTTACAGGCCCGACGGAAGGAGGTTAAATCCTGCAGGGCCCTGGTCTCATGGGACAGAGCATTCCACCAGGTCGGAGCCATCACTGAAAAGGCCCTGGTAGAGGATAGTCTGACTTCCTTAGGGTCCAGGACCTCTAAACTATGGTTATTCATGGTCCTCTGTAGGGCAGACCAGGAGAGACGGTCCCGTAGATACAGTCCCATAGATATGGAAGGTAGAGCAGGAGCCAAACCAACGCATTCAAGTTACAAGTCCGGAGATTCCAACTAAAGATTGGGAAGAGCTTTCTGTGACATTGGAACGGAATTCCTCTGAAGGCTGTGGACTCTCATTCCTTGGAGGTTTTCAAGCAGAGGGTGGATGGCCATCTGTCATGGATTCTCTGGCTGTGGTTCCTGCATTGCAGAAGGGTTAGACTAGATGACGCCTGGTGTCTCTTCCAACTCTGCCTTTGGACAGTATCTGGAAAGCAATTCCATCATCCCCAAACACCCTTCATTGTCCCCCTTTTTGAAGGCAGCATCACCTCTACTGCATTTGGGTTCTTTTTCACGGAATCATAGAATTGGAAGAGACCCAAAGGGTCGCTGGGTTCAAGGCCTTGCAGGGAAGGAATTTTTAACTGCATTCCGTACTGTTTCATTTCAGTTGCAAGGCACGCCCTTGCCAAAAAAGGTGGTTTTTATTTTTAAAGTATATTTCTTATGCTTCAGCACCACCAATGCCTGGAAGCTTTCAATATAACATTTTTTGAATTTTGTTAATTGTTTTGATGGATTTGCTGTCACCGTTTGCTTTGTCTATATGCTGTTCGGCTTGCAATGTGTTGTTGTTCCTTAATGCTACTGCGATCATTCTGCGCTCCCTTTTTGCCCAACATTTGTTGCTGGAAAAGCGAAATGCAAACGCCAAAGCAAATCTGAAGGGAACCAGGTATCCCTCAGAAGGAACCCAGCCACTGTTCACCCCCAGCTCACCCCCCCCCATCCCGGGAAGCAGATCTGCAATGGCAAACAAGCCTCCCGGAATGACAGCTTATAGCCCTCTGCACAACGTGGCCATAGGAGTAGCAGTTGCTGTCCTGTCTCTGCTCTCGGCTCGCCCAAGGCGATGCTGAACTCCTAAAGCTCTGGCAAATGCAGGAAGATAGGAAACTGCTTTAGACAGAGCCATAGTGCTGGTCTGGCTAGCTCAGCATTTCCCACACTGACTGGCAGCACCTTCTCCCCAGGGTTTCAAAGCAGATATCTTAGGGACGGAAGGAGACCTTCTGCCTGCTGTTCCGTCATTGAGCTATGGCTGTTCCAACGTTAGAAACTCAGGTATATAACCTACGTGCCGAATGGCACCTTGAATCTAGATTGCGGTTGCCAACACAGAATGTCCGTTTGCCCAGGGGTTGGACCAAATGACCTTTGGAATCCCCTAGACTGGTGACTGGGAGTGGCCGCCAGAACCACATAGCACCGGTCCTGAGAGATCTGCATTGGCTCCCAGTACGTTTCCGAACAC